CGCCTTCCAAGGCACAGAAAGACCAGGAGCTGATCTTTGTGACATTAGGTTTGACCGCGACCGTGTTCGTCGCCAAACAATTAGACTAGAACATATTTATGTGTGTATACATAAAAAAAACATGGGACGACGAGCACCTTTTAACTGCAAGTACGTGCTTCTCAGCAAAACATTCACAAGATGTCCATCAGACATGTGAAGTATGCAGCAAAGGCGTGAAATGCCATTATCGTCGTTGCAAAGCCCACGGAGCGGACATGGTCCGAGGCCATCTCATCTACTTGATGAAAAGAGACTACCTCAACGAACGCAACCGACTGCTGAGAATAAAAATCTTAACGTGCATCGCTTTTTTTAATATATTTTTTTAAGTCGGTCGAAAGTTTAACTATCCAACGTATTGACGGGTTTGCTATTATTTAACAGCAAGACATACTTCGCACACCAAACAAACTACTAGAGGTTTTGTCTCGCAGCCGAACATAGCGATGAAAATCCTATTAGAGATTTGACTTCACATGTGAAAAAACCCTATTACAGATTTGACTTCGCTTCTGAACATAGCGAAACTCAAAAGCCTATTAGAGATTTGACTTCACATCTGAACATAGCAACCATAGCAATGCTCAACGTCCGAAAACTGAAAAAGATTGCCAATAAACGCGGAGTGAACGGTTACTCCCGTTTGAGGAAACCTCAGCTGTTTAAATTGCTCGACATTCCTCGCGTCGACAAACCTCCTCAACCCTCGGTGAAACAACTCAAGCTCCTAGCAAAGGAGCGTGGACTCAGAGGATATTCGCGACGAGCGAGGAAAGCCGAGCTACTCGAACTGTTGGAGGAACACAAACCCGTTGAACTATGGTTCGTGTGGACGAAGCACGTCGTAGGTAAGTATCTGACAGGCAGGAGGATGGATGTCGACAAAAACATGGAAGTCGACGACATCAAACCCCTGAGGAAGTGAACGATCTGGTAAGCCTCAAATTTCAACTCACGGTGAGAATGTCGCTGGAAAAACGGCAGACAGACGGCACCACCGAGCTCATCCAGAATTATTTCAGAGTCAAGCAAGAAGTCATGACTCAACCCGAATCCATCGACGCGCGTCCATCGACACCTCGTTTGCAAAAATACGAGAATCCCTGGAACGCTAAACGCACATGGGTTCGGGCTGGGTCGTGGACACTATCAACACGGTCTACCTGGACACTACGTGCCGTTCAAAGGAGGGTCGTACCTAGACTTGTCACCGTACTACAAGAAAAAGCAAGCCATGGTCAACGTCAAAAACAAAGGCGACGACTGTTTACCGGTGGCGATCATAGCCAACTTGCATCCGGCTACCCATCATCCAGACAGACTTTCGAGCTATCCCTCCATTGGGGAATCGAGCCTCGACTTTACGGGGATAGACATGTCTACTCCCATCTCACAAATCGCTCGAGTGGAAAAACAAAACCCTCTGGCTATTAACGTCTTCAGACACGAAGGGAACACAACTATTGTGCACAGGATAAGCCCCGTCCTAGATAAAACCATGCGAAGGATCAATTTAGTTATGATCGAAAAAAGAGGACAAGTATCACTATGGAACGATTAAAAGTCTCAGCAGACTGTTGTGCGATCAATCAAAGCACGCCGGGAAAAAACTACTAGACAAAAGTTTCACGCACAAAAGGCAGGAACACGAAGCTTGCAGGTTCGCTTACGTGGTCCTCCGATGCGATGGACGAACGAACACTCCCGTGGTCTACCGAGGTCCCGACGCAGCCGAGAAAATTTCTCACGTTCTTACAGCGCAAAGAGAAAGCCATCAGGAAAGAGTTGTCAGATTCTGCTCTCATGCGCATGACGTCGAAGGATAAACTCACTCATAAGAAGGCTAAGAATTGCCAGGGGTGCGACGAACCCCTGAACGGGGATGTCGTGAGAGATCACTGCCACGTCACCGGCAAGTACAGAGGTGCCACTCACAACGCGTGCAACCTGAAGCTCAGAATTGATCCCAACACCATCAAAATCTCTGTCGTGTTTCACAACCTTCGCGGGTACGATTCCCTCTTGATCATGCAGGCCATCCTGAAAGTCGACGGCAAAATAACGTGCATCCCCAACAACATGGAAAATACATCTCCTTCTCCTTAGACGGTCTGAGATTTATCGACAGCGTTCAGTTTCTCCTGTCGTCTCTAGACAGTCTGGTGAATGCCAACAACCCGAACGACTTAAACATCACCAATCGATACACCGACGCTGAGACTCGACCTCTGCTGCTGTGGAAGGGAGTCTGCCCCTACAAATAAATGGACGACTGGTCCAGGTTCGACGAGACGCGATTGCCTCACATCAATCGCCTTTACAGCAACTTGACCGACTCGTCCACCACCCCAGACGATTACTCGCACGCGATTAACGTGTGGGGCAAACTTGGCTGCAAGAATTTGGGCGATTACCACGACCTGTACTTGAAAACGGACGTGCTCCTGCTGGCCGACGTGTTCGAGATATTCAGAAAAACGTGCTCGAAACAGTATGGCCTGGACCCCGCGTGGTATTTCTCCTCCCCCGGTCTCTCTATGGACATCTTGTTGAAAAAGACCGGCGTGAAACTGAAACTGCTGACGGATTATGACATGCACCTGTTCGTGGAGAAAGGCTTGTGAGCCGGAATTTCGATGGCCTCCAAACGATGCGCCAAAACCAACAACAAGTACGTGGAAGGTCACGACCCCAGCAAACCAACCAAACACATACTCTATCTCGACGCCAACAACCTGTACGGCTGGGCCATGAGTCAGTATCTCCCCACTGGGGGATTCGAATGGGTCTCCTCGCCCGTGAATAGCATCGCGCCGGATTCGAACAAAGGCTACGTGCTCGAAGTGGACTTAAGAGTACCCTCGAGAATTACACGAATCGCACAATTGCTATCCCCTGGCTCCCGAACGATTGACCGTGAACCCGGATTGGATGTCCGACTACCAACGATACTTGCTGGGAGACAATAAGCTGTTGGTCTACGTCAAAAAACTCGTGCCGAACTTGATGCACAATACAAAATACGTTGTTCACTATCGTAACCTGCAGCTGTACTTGTCGCTGGGAATGAAACTCGATCAAAGTCCTTGGATGGAGCCTTGCATTCGGTTGAACACGAATCTGCGAAAACAAGCCACGAGCGGCTTCGAAAAAAACTTGTACAAGCTCATGAACAACTTGGTGTTAGGCAAGACGATGGAGAATTTGAGAAAACGCGTTAACGTGAAATTAGTCAGATCCAGTGAAGAAGAAAAACTCAGGAAACTTATAGCCAGCCCGGCGTTCAACTGAAGCAAGATATTCGACGACGACTTAGCAGCACTGCACATGAACAAAAGCCACATCAAATTCAACCGGCCCGTTTACGTAGGGGATGAGCATCCTTGAATTATCCAAACACTTTATATACGATTTCTACTACAATGAGCTGAAAAAGCAGTACGGCGACAGGTGCGAAGTGCTGTACACAGATAAGGATTCCCTGCTGATGGAAATTCATACCGAGGACGTGTACGAGGACATACAGAAACACATGCACCTGTACGACACCAGTGACTACCCCAAAGATCACCCTATGCACAGCCAAGTCAACAAAAAAAAATGCTCGGCGAGATGAAGGACGAATGCTCTGGCACGCTGATCGCGGAATACGTCAGCTTGAGACCTAAGATGTATTCCATCAAGAAAGCCGCTGCCACCGAAATCCGATTCAAGGAAGACCTGTTCAAGAATAAAATGTTCAAACACCAAATGTACATGCTGAGAAACGACGGACACAGGATATACGGACTGAGAATCAACAAGATGTCGCTGTCTCCCATGGACACGAAACGATGGATCGCCATCGATGGAGTCGCCACTTACGCGCACGGACACACGCACATATTAAATAATTAAAACGCACGCAATACATACATCATGGAGAAAATTTATTGCAGCCCACGCGGGTACTGGAAAGGTGCAGACGCCATCCCGACACTCGCCAAAGCCACTAAAGTCTCGGAAGACGTCGCCAAAGCTTGGCTTAAAAAACAAGCCATCTGGCAAGTTTACCTGCGGGCCGCCTCGGTACATCCCGAGAAGAAAATTCAACATTTCAACGCTGAATCGCGTTCACCAAGCCGACCTCCTATTTGTCCCTCACGACAGGGTGAGGCGTAAAACCTACAAGTACGCCCTGACAGTCGTCGCCATCGCCAGTCGCTACAAGGAAGCCGAACTGTTGATGACCAAAGATTCGAACGAAGTAGCCAAAGCCTTAGAACGCATATGAGTCATTCTCAAAAGTTGCAGCTATTTGGTGTACAAAAGACAACATAATTGAAATACAAAATCGTCAATCTTTATTTTCACAAATGGCAAGATACGTTGTTAAGGTTCACATATCAATAGTATTTGAGGCTTATATGTGACATATTATTATGAAGACTAATTAAACTAATTAGGACGAAGACACAATGTCTTTTCTGTAACAACAGTAATATCCACATTTTCTTAAAAATACATTGACATGTAAAGATATTGCATTGTAAAATCTACCTTATGTGTTATTTTGTTACTCACACTTAAAAAAAATCAGTTCTAAAATTGTATTTTTATTAAATAAACCTGTTCTATACTGTGTCAGATGAAAAAGTTAAATCTGTGGGTACTTTGCAATACTCTTGATATCCTTTCAACTGTCTCACCTAAAAAATCATTGCACTGAAGGTGATTGAACAGGACATTTTGATATTTCTGAGTGAGTTCTGACAATGTCTTACTCTTTATTACTCTAAACATTTACTTTTTAGACCCGTTATATGAAAGACAGTATCGTTATGCCAAAGACACCCTATGTTATTGGAAAGAAAGTATATCAAGTATATTTGAAAAACTATTTAATTGTAGCAAATATCATTGATCTCTCTGTAATGAAAGGAAGAGTTTTTGCTTGTTACCCTCAGAAGTATAGTAAGTGTTACATGTTATATTTATATCTCCAAATAAGGCGAGTAACAATGACATGTTTGTTACAGAGAAGACAATTCAATCGTATATTTGAGTTAGGATAAGAATACATCTATGGCAGTGAAGATAAGATAGGTTCACATTAATCAATTTATAAAGTATTGATTTTACCACACTTGAAGTGCAAAATACATAGTCTATATTTTGGAACTTAGCCTATGTGTTACCCCAAAGACATGTCAGAGTTACTGGAAAGACATTTCAGATCAAGTTGATGGAAGACAAAGAAGAATTAAATTCTGGTGTTCAATAAAAACTTTAGACAGTGTGCTTTGAATAAACAACAATAAAAGTAGCAGTTACCAATTTGAAATTTGTTTTCTAGGAACTCAGAAACTCATTTCACAACAAGTTTGACTGTAATTGCCATGAATGTATCAAACTGTCAAACAGGTTTGCAACTAGCAAAAGTATCCAAGTTTGGATCACATTCCTCAAACTGTCAAACAGGCTTGCAACCAACAAAAGTATCAAAGTTTTGATCATTTCCCTCAAGCTGTCAAAGTAACAAATCATTCACTAAAATTAATCTCCGCATTTGTCATACCTATCTTGCCAGTTCTGAGAAACATACAGAAGTGAATATTTCATTGAAATTTTGTTTCAGAATATGACACATTAACTTTATATAGGAAACTAGATGTTAACACTTTGATGGTTTTGCAGACTGATCATTACGATGTCATATTTATTATAGTCACAGTCACACACTGTCTGTCAAATAACAGTCTTTTAAAATGCATAAAAGCATTCAAAGTTTTTAGAATAGACTTCTTTGTGAAGCATAAGGTAATCTTATATCATATATTTGATGCTCATCTGAATGAATCAGGAAAGAAAGACAAAAATGAAAGATAATTAGTATTAAACTGTCTTTGCAGTAACAACATAAGTCTTTTAAGTAACAGCTATTTTTGAAAGACATATAGCATACACATTTTTAGGGAAAATATGAATGGTTACTCAAAATATAATCTTAAAGGTCCTAATATGAGCACATAGCAAATCTAGATGAACAAAAGACCTACCAGAGATAATGTTTAATTGCAAATTTGTATTGAATTGTCTTTGCAGTTACGATTGCATTCAGACAAGAAAGTGTAAAACATGTTTCAGCCATAGACCTTAGATTATTACCACAAGTCAACTGTTAATGACATTGACATTAACATAAAAGAATATGTGACTAATCAATATTGATGTTTCTTTGTGAGTAACACTGAAGGTCTTTCCAATAACAAAATAGCTGTTACAGAAAAGACTGGTTATATGAAAGACAAATTGTAAGAGTAAATTAAGAGAAAAATAATGACCAGTCCCTTTCCCATTTCAGACAACATTCTTATGTTATAATTATGGTTCCAAATGCAAAGAGAAAAACATGCTTGTGGAAAATTGGGTATTTTTTTTATAATTGATGTTGTCTAAAAGACACCGATAAAAAATACTTGCAAATGCTGACCTTTTAAACTTGATTTTCTTTGAAAATTTGGTCTTGAACACAACACCACATGCTCATCACTCTCAACCAGAAGTTGTTAATAAGCATAACATGTAGTTCCACTTTCACAGGATGAGGGATCATTAATTATTTCATAATTCTAGGGAACTGTTACAGGAAAGACATTTTTCTGGTATACAAGAGAAAAAGGTCTTTTTTTATATCAAAATTCAGCTTGAAAATCATGAACATCTACCAGGAATGGGAAAAAGGTCTATTCTTTTCAACCACTCCAGAAACAATACCTTCTTAAATAAAATTTAGTGCACAGCAGACACATGATGTTAGGTTTTTGCACCTAGATACATGACAAAATGCATGTCCCTTGTTACAAAAAAGGAAAAAATAAATATTATCCGGTCTTTTGTTTGTGATAAAAAATTCCCAAGTAAGATTAGATATTGGCAATGAAGGAGAAATCAGATTTTTAACACACTGATAAAATTTGATGGTTTTATTGAGGTTTTAATCCTGATACGGGAAAAAGCTGCATCTTTTGAGAATGACTCATATACAAACGCAGTCGCCTGACCTGGCCTGCCGTATTGCAAATCGATCCCGGACGCGAGTTCATGGGAGCCGTGTCACAACTGCTGGCCAAGCACAAAGTCAAGGTGAGACGAGGTGTTGAGGGAGCTCACCTGAAGCCAAGCCATCGTTGAGAGATTCAATCGCACCCTAGCCGAATGCGTGTTCTCACATCAGTACTCGCAGGATTTAATGGATCCCAAAAACAGAAACACGGAATGGGTCGTACGTTTACCGCGAGTGGTGGATGTCATCAACAACGAAGTCACCAGACTCGTGGGCAAGAGACCCATCGAGGCCATCAAAATGAAATCTGTCGAATCGTCGTCGGAGGCAGCGCGTCGCTATAAAACAGAGAAAACATTACCGGACCGGGTCAGCGTTAGGTACTTACACCAGCCGGGAGAATACGAGGGAGACAGCAGAAAACGCGCCACCGATCTGATATGGTCCATGAAAACGTACAACGTAGACCTTGTCGACATCAAAGATGGCAAACCGAACTTGTACTACTTGAAAGACGGACTGCCGAGAGCATTCGTCAGAGAGGAGTTGATGATCGTACCTCGTGATACAGTCCCTTACACATCACCCACCTTGTTATGATAGTTTTTCGTCATGATTTTTTATCAGTCTTGCATGCCTATTTTTCTGCTTAATGTAGCCAGCCAGCCAGACACCAGTACACCAAGCTGAGAGAGACACGCACACGCACTGCGACTCGTCCGCCCACAGCGCTCGGAGGAGCAACCACCCTTGAGGCGACCCGAGCCTTTTTAACAGACTGACCCCATGCTCACTTAAAAGTCAATATTTCAGAAACTATTCGACCGATTTTCTTCAAATTTGCGTGCACCTCAGTAGTAGTATACACAATGGTGGTACGGGATTAGCGACTCCTCAAGGGCTCAATTTTTAAATTGAGCCTTTGGGGGGACCTGGTCCGGTACCACCATTGTGTATACTACTCCCCAAGCCCGACCCCAACCATAGCTAAGTATAATTTCAAAATGGGCCTTTAAAAAGTGTCCTTTGTAATACAATATCATCGCACACTAATTTGCATAAAGCCAAGGTCTGTTCCAAATAAGTCGACTTGGACTTAGAAAAACCCCACATTGCTCATTTCTGTACTAATCTCTCCTCAGTAAAGTCCTCTTTTTACATTTCCTATCTCCCTACCACCAAGACTGTAGTTAGGCCGAACATAGTTTAACAGATATTTCACACTTTCACATATTAACTACATAAATTGTGGATCTAAATGTGAAAAAACAGGGTTTTTTTCTATTTCCACAGTACTTTAGTGCATTTTCAATGCTGGTGAGTATATATTGCACAATATATAAATAGTTCAGCAAAAGTATTCCCAAGCTGAAAGCATGAATGTTGAATATTATTAACTGACTTACCAAGTTATAAACATTTTGACCTGATAAGAATCTTTAATTATTTAACATCTAAATAATATATGACAGGATATATTTATAGGTTCTATCATTTACAAAGATATTCATGTTGGGAAAATTAATAAACTGCCATATCTTAGATAGGTTTTTCAATAAATGACAATGTTATGATTAATATTTATGCCAAACCAGCGATAATTTTGGGTCATTTTGTACTGTATGTCATTTATCAAATATGTGTAAATACCCTTTTAACTTTTACTCCATGTATTTTATAGCAAATGTTTTGTAGAAAGTTTCAAATGATTATGTCATCAATAGTTCTCAAATATCCCTCATCTACTGATTGAAAACTGAACTTGTGAAGCCCCATACATCAGTGAGTAGGAGCCTGTTTGATATAAATGTATCAAGTAATCATAAATATTTACATTCATAGAACAAAACCTTCACTTAAAGTGAGACAAAGCTAAAATATATTTCACTTGGTAAAATAATAGCTCCAGATACTGTATTTTCCCAATCACTACATCAGAATTCTTCTCGTTATATTATTGGGTATGTTTTAAGTGAATCACTGTTAGATTTGGCTCTGTATGCGAGACAAGTACACACATTGTTATCTAATACCTGACTATAAGACAATGCCAAGCAAATCTAATTAAAACTGAAAAGGTAAAAATTCTTGTCCAGTGATATTTAATTGCAAATTTGACATCTTCACTGACAAATCGTTTTATGTTGTTCGTCCATATGAAGCGATACAATGTTGTTTTCTTACCACCAGAAAAAAAGTTTGCTGAAAGTGTAAGCTGTAGATAAGCCGCCCCCCCTTCTACGGTACATAGATAAGTCGCTCCCCTTCTATGGTACATAGATAAACCGCCCTCCCCCTTCTTCGGTACATAGATAAGCTGCCCCCCTTCCACCCTACATAGATAAGCTCCCCCCTCTACGGTACATATATCAGCCACCCCCCTTCTACAGAACATAGATTTTTTTATTATTTTTTAAAATCTTTCCTTCCTTTGTGAGACCTCCTTGCCCTGCAATACATGACTGAATGCGCCTAGGTGCATCTCCGATCAAAGTTTGTAGGAAATCGTGTGAGAGCGTATCCCAATATTCGGGCACTTCTTTCTTCATATCCTCAATATTTCTAAGTCCTCTTTGGTTTATTCTGTCCTTCATTAGTCTTCTCAATAGGGTTAAGATCTGGGCTGTAGATGGGCCAGTCTAAAACTTGTACATTTTCGTTTGATAACCACTGTTTTGTGTTGCCTGCAGAGTGTTTATCATGCTGGAAAATCCAATTATCTTCATACAGTGTTCGGGCCGTTGGAAGGCGGCGACCATTTAAGATGTCAACATATTGTTCCTTCATCAAATTTCTATTAAAAATACACTACGGCGTTATTGCAAGTGATGATATCCCACCCCACATGTTAAATTTTGGGTATGTTTTGGGCATTAGTAGATAGGTTTCATGGTATCTTTTGTCCAAATTTTCACACAGTTCGGGAAAAAGGCAGACAGAACTTTCATCAGAAAGGAAAACATTATCCCATTTTGGATTTTCGTGAGCCCAACACCAGTTTAAACGTCTTTCTTTTTTGTGCATTTTTCATCAATGGTGAGGGAATTCCATGCTTTTTCACCCAGTTTGTAATTCTTGTCTTAGGTTTTCATTACATGCCTGTGGACTTCCTCTATTAATCATCTCATTTCTGATATTCTCAACTCATTTCAATTTTCCCCTACTCACAATCTGACCAAGCCGTCAGCGATCCGTAGTACTAAACTTCCTTGGCCTCCCTGCCCCTGTCTTGTGCTCAATCCCAACTCCTGACTGAATATTCTTCAAAGTTCTGTACACTGTTGACAGAGGAATGTCACTCTTTTGAGTTAGTCACACCCCTTTCAAAATCATCTAGAACCAGCTTTCTTTTCTCTTCTGCTGTCAGATCTGCCATGTCAACAAAGGAAGCTGTCAGCTGCACAAGGGGGAGATAACTCTTGATGTACTAAGGTTCATTCTTAAGCCTACAAGAGTTGCCTCCCATATAGAGTACCTTACTACATAATGTAACACCTATTTTAACATTCTATTTTCAGAATTAGGAAACAGAGATTTTCTCAATAATTTTTGGGATAACTGTATAGTATATAGATAAAACTTTGTTGAGATCCATAGCTCATCAGCACATTGATATATTGATCTTTGCAGGTTATTGGGAATCAAAGAATGGATTGATGCTAATGACCCTGGAGCTACAGTCATCCTTTTCAGTGGAGCTTTGGAATTAAGACTGGCAGACATGGGTGAAGATAATGAAGCCAAAGAAGCATTACTCAAGGAAAAAAACACCCAGAGGTAAGTAAATGCCACAAATCCGATCAACATGCTTGCCCAGTATCTACTGAGACACAAAGTAGCCTTTGTAAGTAAGTAATGCCATTTGACATTTAGCATATATGTAAGCTTCTTTTCTCCAGCTCACAGTCAAAGTTCATGTGTTACATTGCTGAATGAGTTCAAACCTTTACCCCACTAACTGAAAAGGGCCAAAACAAACTAGCGTCCCCCACGCATAAAACCTAGCTTCAGATGTTAGACAACAAAATACAACATTTCTGCACACAAGTTTATTCCATGGCTATGATTCACTTCATTTTAACAAAATCTGTTGAGAGGTGGGCTCTCCACATGTGAAAGTAGGTTAGAGTGAAACTGGAAAGGCTGTCCTAACAAGTACATCTTCCAGCATCAGATAATTCCGGGCATTTACAATTGCACCAATAGACAATTTCACTGGGTAAAGCACTGTTAGATATAGAAAATATACACAATCGCATATCCAAGTCAGATGCCAGAACGGCAACAAACAGCTCGACACACACGGAGCGTGCAAACGTGAGTTCACAATCACATGTGTCGCAGGTTTAAAATGTGACCATTAGGCTGGTGTTCAATGTGTTTATTCTGCCATTTTACTAAATCTTGGGGAGAACTAGTTGAATTCTGTTCGGAATTCAAAACAATTTTTGAAATGTCATTTACAGTAGCCTCTTCAGTGCTATTTACAGTTGCTGTATCTGAAGAACTTGATTGATCCAAAGTATGAGAATCAGCTTGATCCAATTCGACCGATGATGAAGTGATTGAAATATCTAGGGTTCCTTGGTGATTTCCAATATAGAGAAATGGAACTACAGTCCGTTTGAGTCAGAAACGGACCGATGAATTGCAAATTTTATCATTGTACAAAATTGCCACATAAATATAAATAGTACACATGTTTATCATTTACTAAGACCCAACAGCTTTCTTATATTTGAAAATTTTCCGGACTCCTCCCAAAAAGTTGTTTAAGAAACTATCATCATTGAAAACGCAAAAGTTGTTATCTGTCGCGGCAGGGTGAAACCGCAGAAACGGAACAGCCAGTCATGGCGGGGGACATCTCAAAATGTATTCCGGGAGACCTGTTGGTTCCTCGTCTGTCATAGTGTCAGTCACGACTTAAAGGGATGACAAGTGGTGCCACAGTTGCCTGTTGTAAGCCATCCCGAGACCAGTAACCTTGTTCAATGGGGTTAAGGTCACAGTGATAGGGTGGAAGTCGCAGAATATCGTGACCCTTACTTTTTATGTAACTGTCAACTTTGTAGAAAGGTTCACCTTTGTGGCTTTTTATGATCTCATATAGCTGAGGCTTCGTAGCCTTTGAAGGCCGTGCGATCTGAAATTTGTCGAGCCATGATATCATATCACCTTTTCGACTGTTCGATGTCAGGGCTTTACTGTCGGGGTCCTGCACGCTGTGGTATGGGGCATTGTCCATTACGATAAAAGACTTCTCTGGTAGAGCTGGTACCAACTTGTTTTTAACCCAATCGAGGAAAACCGCACCATTCATCTCGGAATGGTAGTCTCTGTTATCTGTGGACTTTGCCCTGAATACCAAGTCGCAGCCTGGGAGAAAGCCTTTGCTGGAGCAACCAGCATGGAGAATGATTAGTCTCTCTCCTTTCCCTAGAGGCAGCTTTCACGTGACCCCTTATCACCCCATCGGGTACCCACTGACTGCTGGCAGTGTGCGGGAGGCATTGACCCAGGTCTCGTCCAAGTACACTGGCTCGAACCCTTCCTCGGCAGCTTCTTCTTTATAACCCTGAGAAAATTATTTCTCAAGCGAAGCGATATCAGGGCGTTCACAGAGTACTGACCTATTCTCCCTCGAAATTTTCTTATAACGATACCCGAAAGAGTGTAAGAGTCGCCAGAGTGTGTACTTTGATACTCTGAGGTTGTGTTCTTGCTTCAAATGCTTTTTTAAAATTTTCAGCGACATGTATTTGTTTTCAGAATAGAGCTTGTTGATAGACTGCCTTACAAGGTTCTTTTGACAGTTGTCCAAATGTTTTAATTTGTGTGATTTTGACACGACCCCTAACGGCTACGCATCTCCCTCACAATGTTTGTGTTCCAGAACATCTGTCAGTACCCTTGCTGATACTCCTAAAGCTTTTAGCGTTTCCATGGCAACAAGTTTGACTTAGACTGAAATTGGTGGTAGCCATCTTTTCCGGAGCAGAACTTTTAAAACCTTTCAATACTTTTCTTCCACTTTTCTATGTACACACACAAAAAATTGACATAATCATAACTCGTAGACATTCATGAAGAGTATTTTGCCATTGCTGGGGATATTGATGACTTTGCCTTCTTCTTGTCATAGTTATACGAGACTTTGACATAACAGTCTCCTTGAACAATTTCAATGCCAACAACTCTCTTTATATTGTTATTGATTTCTCGTAGGTGTAAAGGTTCCATTTGATATGGTTCAACGTCCAATACTGGGTCTCTAATAATTGATTGCAGTTTGAATCTCCTTGACAGCACATGTACATTGACTGACATTGATTTATTGTTTTGTGCTGATTCTCTTTGGTAGAAGAAGGGGCAGTGGGGTAGTCTAGTGGTTAAAGCGTTGGCTCGTCACGCCGAATTCCCGGGTTCGAATCCCCGGGTTCGAATCCCCACATGGGTACAACGTGTGAAGCCCATTTCTGGTGTCCCCCGCCGTGATGTTGCTGGAATATTGCTAAAAGCGGCGTAAAGCCAAACTCAGTCAGTCAGTGGTAGAAGAACTTGTGATTCTTCAGCGGACGTTTTCGTCGTTTTCCTGACATATTTCTCTTGACGTGAAATTCTCTCCGAATTGAGTCTATGATGCTGCTGCCATATTCCCATGTGTTTCCTCTTTCTGGATACTTCCATTTCACTCTGCAGTAGAGTTTGTTGTTTGCTCTCTTGGAAGCAAGAATTGAGTGAATGTCATCAGGATTGAAAACGTTGGAGTCATTGCATGACGTTGGTTGTTGGGTTGGTTGTTGAACTTGACTTCATTCTGATTGTGGCCTTGATTCTGGCTGATGACGCTTACTGTTTACTCCTCTTTTTCCCATGTTTGTATTTTCTTTTTCCTTGGTGGGATTACTTGGACCTGGGGTGCTCTGCTTCTGCTTAGTAACTGTTGTAATGGGGCCAGCAGAGTTTTCCGGAGTGGCTCTCTTCTTCTTGGTAGGAGTATTTGGTTTGTTTGCCTTTGTTTTTGGATTGATTTTCTTACCTCTCTGTTGGACAGGTGATTGATCTTTTGTCGAACTTGTTGATTGGGCATTGTTGCTGTCAAAATGTGTGTCGTTGACTGGTTCCTCATTGTCATCTATGATTCCTGAATCCATGTTGCCGTTTTTGCTGACCTATGGCTCTGGAGGATACTGTGGCCGATGGTTTCAGACGGTTGGCATGAACCAATGGTTTTTGTAATTTGTCGTCAGAACTTCGGCATAGTTTGTAGGTGAAATTTGGACCTGAATGAACGATGTAATAACTGCCATGCCACTTTTTTGTTAACTTGTTGCAAAGGCCTTTTTCCACTTTTTGACAATATAGCCAAACTCTTTGGCCTGGGGAGAAATCAGCCTTACGATTATTTTGTTCAGAATACACCTCCTTTGCTCGAGTGGTGTTTCAGCTGCAATTGTCCTTGTAATTTCTAGCTCCTCAAGCAAATTTGCAAAAAAGCTTTTGTTGTTGTGGCCTAAATTTTCCTTTCGAATTAATGAAACATCTTGTGGAGCTCTCATTTCTCTTCCGAAAAGCATAATAAAAGGGGACTTTTGAGTTGATGAATTTGGGGCCATCCGATATGCCATCATGATGCCTGGAAGAAACCGGGGCCAATCATTTTGAGGTTTGTTACAATAGTCTCTTAGTGATTGATTGATATAGGAATTGAGTCTTTCTACACAGCTATTTGTTTGGGGATGGTATGGGCTAGTATGAGTGAATTGGATAGCCAAAAGTTCACAAATAGCCTTGATTAATTTTGACATGAAGTTCTGACCTTTGTCTGAAATTAAGGTCCTTGGAGCACCATACCGACAAAATATTTCTCTCACGAGAACATCTGCTACCTCTGTGGCTTCTTGGGTTCTCAGGGGAAAGGCTTCACACCATTGCTGATGACCAAAATGTGCTTGTACTTATCTGGTGTTGTTGGCAAGGGACCAAGGATGTCAACATGCCACCGGGTGAAGACCTCTTCCACAGGTAGTGGACATAGGGGTGCCTTTTTGCTGTGGTAATGCCTCTTCGTCTGTTGACATACCTCACATGCCCGGACATATGTTGCAATATTGCTGTACATCTTTGGCCAGTAGTATTTTGGGACCCGTGAAGATCCGGGGTAGAATAGGACAGCAACACATGCTTGCCACAAAAGGCGACTAGAGGCTTGCAATTGGTTGACACATGTCATCGGTTCCAAATTGTGCAGATCGATGCTCATGCTGTTGATCACTGGATTGTCTGGTTCAGATTCAATTATTTACAGACCGCCGCCATATAGCTGGAATATTGCTGAGTGCGGCGTAAAACTAAACTCACTCACTCAGTAGTATTTTTGGTGTTGTGCATCCTTTCCTTTCCATCGTGACAACCGCCAAACTGGGAATCATGGTAGGATCTCAGGACCTCATTCCTGAGAGTTCTTGGAACTGTCAGCTGTTTAATGAATTTGTCTGCATGACCCTTCTGTCTCTCTGGGACGAATCTGTATAAAATTCCTTCATCGATTTCAAAGGTAGTGGCTTCAAATAGAATCTTGGCGATTCTTTTCATCTTCTGGAAGGACATCATCTTCTTTGTAGTCGAAACTCTGTGTGAAATCTGGTCAAATCCTTTGTAGGTGACGTAAGTTGGGATGTGCATTAATATTTACTTAAACCATTGTGGCTTGTGTGACATCGTCACTTGTAGCCTGTATTGCTGCAACGACATTTGCTGGCACTGTTTGGTTATCCAACATTTTGGTATTGCTTCATTGCCCAAGGGAGGTTGCTGAAAAGACTGTTTTCTCAGCATCTTCTTCTGTTTGATTCTGACAGTTAATATTTTGCTCATATTCCCTGCGTGAGAGTGCATCGGCATTAATGAATTTTCGTAGCAGGGGCTGGCCAGATTAGAGTCGCTAGACTTTAATTTACTGGGTCTTTCTGTTGATCACTTGCCGAGCTCCGTCCATTTGTCTGAACAAAAGTTGCTTCTGAAAACCACATTGCTTGGGAGCGCCCTTGGAGTTCTGTGCTGTGTAAGCCAAGGGATTGAGGACAATCCACCATAAATCAGGAGTTATGTAGTTAATTGCCAGGTTACACTCATAATGGGCCCTGGTACGGCATCGCTTTGACACAGCTCTACTAAAACAGATACTGGGTAATCTGTCACCCACCATCCTACTGTGGGATAAGTACACTACGTGAGATAGGATAAGTTTAAAAATTTGAAAATTTGAACTATAAATTGTATATTTATAATACGTATCCTATCTCACAAAATAGATGCTCGCCTGACCTACCACACTAACATAGAATAGGATTACACTCCAAGAAGAGGATGATCAGACAAAGAAGTCTCATGATCAACTGGAGGGCATGCTGCATGCTTCACAGAGGCTGATGCTGTCCAGGAATGGGAACAGTGGAGTGTGTGGGCAAATGGCACAAGAGAGGCCGAAAACTTCATTGTAGTTGATTTTCGCTCAGCTATCGAATCATGAGAGAGAGAGTACAATACATGAGATAGGATAAATATCATAAATGTACAATTTATAGTTCAAATTTTCAAATTTTCATGAACCATGCATTCACTAATAATTAAAGTTATCTAATTACTTTCTCTGAATGTATGTGCGACAGTCCAACAGTTTGTCACCTCTTTTTTTTGTTTATTTCATCAAAACAGTTTGCATTTATCACAAAGCTAAAGTAGAAATCAAAATATTAGATGGATGAGTATCTTTAATAAATCAATAGCATTATCATCTTCGTAGTTGAATTCATGAAATATGAAATTTAACAATAAATCACTATCTTAATTGGGCTCTAACACTTTACTGTGTCATATACAATTAGGACTTAACCCGATTAATATGTGTTACATTGAAGCAAAATACCTCATGCAGCAAACAGTATGGAACAGGCTATAACATGTCAATTGCGTCTGTCAATCACAACGTGAATGAAATGCACATGCTGTAAGTGGAGGGTCGTCTCATAACTCGTTTGAGCTACTGTCATCAAGATGGACAATCACTGGTTGGACAGCACTCTGAGCAACCCCTATCAACCTCACAGTATTCATTTTCAATCTTGATGACATAGTTTTCGGCATTTGTCCATGTTTCACTGTCAATCCTTTCAAAAGCTTGATGTACCAATCGTTTCACATCTGAAAGTTTGAAAGTGCTGTTCTTTTTCGCCATGAAGTTCTTGCAATTCGCCCATATTAGTTCAATGGGGTTGAGTTCACAGTGTTCTCACTGGAGTTCTCAGAACAACATGTCCCTGAGATCCAGCTAGAGCATCGGTTTGGTACTGTGGTTTAGGTTTGTTTACTTTTATTTGTTCAAGAAGTTTTGGCTTTGTGTCTTTGGCATCAAAAGAAACATCATGATCTTTCAACCAGGATTGCATCACACACTTTTTGCTGGCCATGGTTGGGGCAACTGTTGATTCCACCTTCACATTATGGTAAGAAGCGTTATCTAAAACAATGACGCTTGGGTTATGTAACTCTGGTAACAGTTGATGTTCCAGCCATTCCATGAAGACTTGAGAATTCATTTCCTTGTGATAGTCACCCTCTGCTGTTAGCCTCGAAAACAAGATCACATCCTGGAATCAGTCCACAGTCTCTCCTACCTGCATGTAATATGATGAGTCTTTTCCCTTTACCTGACGGTATCTGAGGTGCAGAGGACATGTCACATGGCAGCCACATTCTACCTGTCGAATGATTTTTGTTCACCCACGTTTCATCAGTATACACAATGTCAAACCCCAGTTCTCTGTACTCGCGTATCTGTCTCAGGTAGGCACATCTCTGATTGACCATAGTCTTTTCTTCTCTGAACAAATGTCTATTTTCTCCTCGTTTGGTATATTGGAACCCCATGTCCTTCAAAACACGTGTTAAAGTGCTGCTTGAAACACAAATAGTATCCCTAATTTCATGTTGGATACGTTTGACAGTGGGAGGGATGGGGCTACGATAAAGCTTTTGAACTGCGCGCCTGATTATGCCCCTATCAAAACTGTCAACCACTTTCTTTCTACCTCTCCGCTCTTTTGAGACGGTCCCTCCACTACCTTTCTTCGTCTGTTTATTGATGATGCCTGAGACTTGACTCACAGATAGTCCCACAGCTCGGGCTGTTTTTGGCAATACCCGATTCAAATTTATCATATTCTTCCCCAATTTCTTTTCCCACGAAAAGAAAGAATATACCCTCTTTATTACCTTCACAACTGATACGGGCATTGTTGTTCCTCTACCCATGTTGACAGCACCTGAGTGAGGACGTGACAAGCATGGATGTTTTAGTTTTTTTCAATAAACACATAATAAAAGTTTTCATTTCAGTAGGTTTCTCCTGTACAATAACCCATTTATGTCATTTAGGTACTAATCTATGACACAAGTAGATAGTGTTTTTATTTTTATGCTGATATATACAGATGTCCTTCTTTTTCAATCGATTGTCTCCACGATATCTACCAAAAACATCATTCTATTTTATTGATCAATACTTTAATGCATACGGTAACAGCAACCTTTTTTGGACCTCATGACAGAACCGATATTTTGCCTAGCATAATGATTGGCAATGAAAATGCAGCGATAGTGTGGTGTAAAACTAAACTCTAAATGAATAGGTGGCTTATCTGGTCACTGTCAAGGTCATTAGTGGAGTAAACAAGCTGTGTATCCATCGAAGTTTCACTAAATCATTTCTCATGACGCTTGTATATGGCTAATAAATTGATGCTGACAGTAAAACATAAGCTGTTTTTTGGGTATTGTAGTTAAATCTAAGTAGTATTATGTACCTTAGTTCTGCATCACGGACCGCTTGAATGTTTATGGCATGGAAATCCTTCCTTCCTGCATACGCAAGTCGCGAAATAGGTATAAGGAAATCTACAAATGTGATATGATTATTCCTTGGTGGTTTGGTGGTTGGATGCTGCCTTTGGGAATGAAATAAGCATCACGTGTTTCACTATAGCGTTGTTTCTGTGGGTAAATACCCTTAAGACAGTAGACTGGGATACCCCATTCAAGTCGGCTAGTGCAGTGAAAATCGATCCCTCACCATAAAATCTTAGGGCAATTAAAACGTGTTTCCAGCGCATTTTGGGAAGTAACATATGGTGATAGTGAGTTTATAAGCTCAAAAATGGCATGATGTGATAGAACATAGTGTCGGATGATGCTGTCATCATACAGCATATTGAGAACCCAAGATCAGTCTCGAAACACCCTTGGTCATGACTGTGTTTGTTGACTCTTCTTCAAATAAGCCAAGCAAAAAATATGCCACCATCTTGATGCTAATGTTACGACAGAAATAGGAACAGGTTTTACGATGTTCATATTGATACGAACGCTTTTTGGATCAGGCCCCAGATCTGTGAAACTGAAATTGTTTTTCTGACCAGTTTTGATAGGTATAGTCTAAATCTTGTGTTATTGTCATGATGTGGCTGAAATATTGCTAATACTACTTTAATTTTTGATTTATTTACTACAATTTTATGCCATTATGTTTGCAGTGCTCTGGAGAAGATAATAGTTACGGGATACAAAGCTCTTAACCTCATCTATTTCTTCACTTCTGGCAAAGATGAAGTCAAAGCATGGACAGTACAGGTAACAACAATATGATTAGAATTGTCATGCCCAGAACCTACATGATGGAAAAATTGAGTATTTCAAACTGATTTGCAATCCCTTTGCAATATGTTCCCCATAGTATGTTTTAGTTTCAAAACTGTTTATGAATGAGCATCAGTTACTGTTGCAAACCAGGGATAAGTACTTAAATTAAGAAGTAATTAATGGAGAATACGAACGAAAACAAAACTTTTGATATATTGTAAAGGATATTCTAAAAGTCGCATTCCGTGATTAAATATGAACAAAAAGTTTGTAAAATAGCAATCAAAGCACAAAAACGTACTCGTATTTCCACATATTATGATAACACCCGACAGTTAATGAGCAGAGGGGTATCACGTGACATGACGTCATATGTGCCTGTTGCTGATGGCTTCCTCTTGATTTTACCTCACAACTTAACAGTGTCCGTGGATTCTGAAGCAGTAAAAGATGTTCCTGATGTCATTTCTGAAATGGATGTTAGACCGTATCAATACGATCCAATTTTACATATTGCAAGACAATCTTCCACTGAAGATGAAGAAGAAGAATCAAGCGAAACGGAGGCATCGCTTGAGGTCAAAATAAATTTAAAAATAGACAATATCATTTAACATGATTACTATTTGTCAGCAAAATGTCATACAGTTCCAGCCAGCAAACTCACCCCTATAAATATATGACCAGTCACTAAGAATTATTTTTAAAAAAATGTGATTACATTTCATTTTGTGTCAAATGGGTGACTGTAGGGTGTCTGGGATTTAAAAACAAAATAATTATGCTTCAGACGAGGGAAAATAAAAATTATCTGCTTCAAAAATTACACTGGAATTATTTTGTTGAAAAAAATTAGGATCCTAGTTCTCATTAATAACGTATCAAGTCTCGATACAAGATCCCAGCCTGGTCGAGCAGAGATAATATTTGCGACGCAGATAAGTTATTCCCCGAAAACTGGTGAATTTTATAATACTAGTCAGGACAACGTATGTTTCCCCATTGTTTGGTTACGGAAATAGTTATGGTACTTGGTCATAGCCTTAGAATGACATCTTGTCAGCCAATGAGAATACAGAACAACTTTCACGGCACACACTACTGACAAATAGCGAGTCTGATGCCGATGTGCGTAATTGGACAAAATGGAAAACAATGAAAGCAACAAGTACTTCATGATTTGTCGTTGTATTCGGCAATGTTTTGAGTAGACTGCATCATTTAGTGCTCCAAACCGAAAAGAATGTTATAGCGAAACATTTTCAAGCTCATGTGAAATCTCTTACTGATTTTGATAATATATATCGCATGAGTATCAGTCGAACTGCCCCAGCTACAAGATGCCTCAGCAAATTTGGTCATTCATTCTAATTTGTTCAAATTTATTTATAATGATTGAATAGATGCCGTAAATGCATAGTTTTTGTCAAGTTATTATGATATTATGTTCTTCATATAGGAAGTAATATTTCTGATAAATGTTTCATTAGTAAAACTCATAACTATGTATATACTTATATATGAAGAAAATAATATCACAGTTGACAAAACTATACATTTATGGCCTATATTTATTCATTTTAAATAAATTGGGGCATTTTGACTACCCCACTGGGGCAATTTGACCAAATTTGCCGGGTCATTTTGTAGTGGGGGCAATTTGACTGGCAATCAGACTTGATTTAATTTATGTTAAAAATACCACTGACAGTAAGTTGGTACAGGGAATGATGGAGTATAAGTGAATCTCGTGGGTACTTTTTCCTTCTTCAGCCCAGCTTGGGGATTTCCATACCCCATGCATGTCTCTTTCATATGCGTCCGACTCTGTATGATTGGCGCATTTCTCCTGCCGAAATCTGTCCTTTCACTTGGAAAAGAGAAAAAATGGTGGTTCTTTCCCATGTTCGATGATGCCGTGCATCCCCAGGCAACGCAATACACCATCGTACCATTTAAAAGAACGACAGAAACAACACGATTTGTACTACTGTAGCGCTTGGTCTTTGGCAATATGGCGGACTCCAGGCACATTTGGCGTCACAAGCAGAAAGGTCACGTGGATTCCAGCGAAATATGCATAATGGCTGAAGCTGAGATTTACAGAAACTGTTTTCGCGATTAAAACATAATTATACATAATTTTTAATTGAAAATTTGGGAATATGTTTCTGATGATTTTATCTTTCACCCAGCAAAATTATTGCAATTCACTCATATTCTCTTTTAAGCCCTTGGGAGTTTGAATAGAAAGTAGAATGCAAAATGAAATATACTTGCAGGCAACGATGAGGTCTCCTTGGCTTTAGTTCTATCTATTGTATCTGAGGGCTAGATATCATCGTCCAAAACGGAGCCAGAAGACGTGTTTTGACAGGCGAGCGGATCTTCCAAATACAGCCGGGGTCACGGGGGTCATGGACCTTTTAAGAAATTCCGGAGAAGAAATAGTTCCCTCTTTGAATGGCTGTATCTCAGTTGTTCTTGGGTCTACGGTCAAAACAATTAGTGTTCTGGAATCACCAAGACATCATCTACCATACTGGCATTTTGGGAGCAAACTATTCAGAAAACTGCTGAAAAACATGGCCAAAAACTGAAAACAAAAATAACTGCCAAATGGTAGGTTTTAGCGACTTGACCCGTACAGGCAAAATTGTTGGGAATTCGATTGTGCATCTGTACAAGAAATTTGGAAGTGTTGGAACGGTTAGTTCTTGAGATATTTGCTGTCAAACATTGAAATTTTGGAATTAATTTTGAATTATCTCCCTTGCTATTGGGCCAAGAGCCTAGAGATTTTTAAGGGGAATATCTACACCTCGGTGCGCATCTGTGTGATTTTTGGTAAGCGATTCGGAGCATTGGCTTAGGAGTTATGTTTGGTAAAAAAATCGGCGGAATAATAAATAATAATAATAATAATAATTAAAGTTGCGAGCAACATTGAGGGCTCCTTGGCCTGGACAATTTCTAGCCATTTGGTACCTGTCATGCAGATGTCGAAAGCAGTAAAGGCTGTAGCTGATATGGATCATATCACTGTCAGTAATGAGAAATACTTCAGTAGTAAACCTTGAATTCTTATGTTTTTAGGGTTAGAAACAAAGGATTGTGTTGTATGGTATGGGTAATTGCACTTATGGCTTTGGAAACAGCTGTTGGCTTGATTAGAGATTCGAAGGAAAAAGAATAATGCACGTTCAATTGCTAATAATTTATTTCTTTTTACTGAAAATGTGGTTGTTTATGGTGTTTATTTTCAGGTGCGTGTAGATACAATTTCCATTTAAATATCAACAACAGCCAAGTTGAAATGTGACACAAAGCGCCCGTACTCTGTATTTGTGTAGCATGTACCAATATCCACAACACTGTTTCTCTCACGCTGAGCTTAGTTGACACATGTCATCGGTTCCCAATTGGGCAGATCAATGTTCATGCTGATAATCACTGGATTGTCTGGTCCAGACTCGATTATTTACAGACCGAGGACATACAGCTTGAATATTGCTGACTGCGGCGTAAAACTAAACTCACTCACTCACTCTCACGCTGATTCAAGTGAACTTGTGATTTCACAGCAATTAAGGTACTTCAGTAGTTTGTATTAGTATCCATTACACTGTTACACTCGAGCTGTTGCAACTGAATTTGTAAATCGAGAGCAGGTATATATACTGGAAATACACCTAACAGCTCGATAAAGGTCACATATGAAGTTTTAAAATCCATGCAAACTCCACAAGACAGAATTGATTGGCAAAAGCGCATTACTCTTCGGGCATTGCAAAGCCGGCGAGTGATGGGTGTGGAAATATTTTACTAGCGCTTCCTTCAGCTAGACCAGAATTACCCCCCTTAGACCACAGCTACAACTTTTACCCTGACCCGGAACGCTCATTCATTGACAATCTTTAAAAGCTGCCTAAAGACATACCCCTTCCAAAAGACTGAATTTCAATGAAGATATAACACCTCTACTGCATTGTATTTTAATTTTGTGTAACGCTCTGGGTTTTTTGGCACATAACACCTGTGCCATTCGACGGAAAGAATCACATGTTTATGCTCTCATCATGAACAGAAAATGATCAGCAAACATTTGAAATACATACTGCAAATTTTCATTGTGCTCTCTAGAGAACCAATAAAGATAGCAACTATACAGTGAGGAAAATAGAATTTCACTTGTCCCTCTGTTGTCTTTGAAAATACACTTACACATACTATTTGTTACTTCAGTATCGTTTAGCTTGTGTTTAACCCGCTCACGCTGGACAGCTCTCGTCATTGTCAATTGAAATTGACATCGTCTCCCATATCTGCATGTGGACCACGCTTTGCAGTGGTAGTCTCTTAATAGGAGATATCGTCCTTGCGCTTTCCTTCAGACTGTCGCATGCTTTGCACGGGTAATCTGCCGTGCTGTAAATGTCGATGAAACTTATGACACCTTCGGCAATGTATCCCTGGGCCGTCGGTGATATAAAGAAGTCCCTATTTATTAAATCTGTCCAAACTGGGTTTTTGAGTGTAAGTATTATTTATAATGACTGGTACGTTGTTGGAAGCCTTTTTGCGTAATGTTTGGCGTGGTGTGCCTGGAGTTGTGGGTGAGTTTGTTTGGCACTCTTTTTCTTTCATTTGGGGCTCGTCTCAAATAGTTTTTTTTCCTTTTAGCTCCCATACGTTGTATTCGCATGGATAATGTTGAACAGATGTTTTCATCAGCAACTTTGATGGCGCTCTTCAAAGTTTGAAAGCCGTAGCGCTTGCAGTGACTTTTGACATAGGACCAAGAACAGAAAATGTTCAACAACCAAAGGCCACTTCAGAACAAGCGTTTAAAGTGTTGTATGTGCTAAGTTTGGTTTGGCACCAAATGGCAAAGAAGCCCGTGGAAGTTTTTGAAGACAACTTTTGCCCAGAAGTAGCGTCCAATATGGCGGCCATCATATAAACATAGGCACATTTGACGATGCTACTGT